CGTGAGGGCTCAAAAGAGGGCAAGAGGAAGCAGAGACATGAGGTCTCTGAGGGAGACTCCTCTAGCAGCACACACTCGAGCGCCCGTGATAGGGCCACGGCAGAAGGTCAAGACAAAGATCCCGACCCGCATAAAATGGCGAAAAGGGCGAAGGACACTGATTTGCGTAGTCAAATCGAGAAGATTATCAGAGGGTACAAGCCACAAAAACCCGCTGAACTGGCTTTGGAGGCGGCGAAGGGAATCTGCAAATCGCCATTCACGGAAGACATCCTGAAAGCCAAGAAGCCAGTTAAGTTCACCCAACCCAAGTTTAAGCTGTTCGAGGGCACGACTGATCCCATTGAACACATCTACCATTTTCAACAACAAATGGTGCTCGAAGGGGACGACGAGGCCCTGTTATGTAAGTTGTTCCCCTCAAGTTTTTCGGGATCGGCCCTGATTTGGTTCAGACAGCTGAAACCAAGGTCTATTGGCGGCTTCACCCAACTCTGTGAAATGTTCATATCTCAGTACATTTGCAATTAGAAAAGAAGGAAAGACGTCACGATCCTATTCAGCACGAAGCAAAGTACTGGAGAAAGCCTTAAAGACTACCTGAGGCGTTTTACGGAGGAAATGTCCACTCTTGAGGAATGTGATTCTCATACTGCTTCGCTGGCGTTTCGTGAGGGGGTCATACCTGGAACAAAAATGCACAGGTCTTTAGTGAAGACCCCACCAGTGGATATGAGGGAGGTGATGGCCCGGGCGGATGGAATCATCAGACTAGAAGAAGAAGAGCTCACCCAGTCAAAGCGCACCACTTCCACCATTGCAACCCCAAAGCCTCCACCGGAGCAAAAGGTGGAGACAAAGCGATATTCCTCGAGACAAGATTTCAGCAATGGACCTAAGCAGAGCCGACCCTTCACCAGGCTCACAGTGAGTTTAGCTAAACTCTTTCACGAGAACAAGGGCAAAGGTATATTCCGAACACCACCTGCGATCCGCGAATCCCCAGAAAAGCGCGACAGGAACAAGATGTGCGCCCATCATAATGACTTTGGACACACTACTGATGACTGCCGAAGTCTCAGGTATCAGGTGGAGGCAATGCTGAGAAAGGGAATGTTATCCCAATACCGAGCCGAACCTGAGAATAGGGCAAGTGAAGAGGGCGGGTCAAAAACAATGACCGGAAATATCGCAAATGAAGAACTGCTGGAGATCAACACCATCCATGGCCGGTCAAATCCCGCGGAAGGAAGAGAGGCTCGATCCCGATTCGAAAAAAGACAAGCTGAAAAGGTGAGACGCATAAACGGGATCGCGTCTGCCTCTGAATCTGCCAAAGCCCTGGAAAAGATTAGAGTCATCTCGTTCACGCAAAAAGACATGGAAGGAATTGAATTCCCTCACAACGACGCGCTGGTGGTGACCCTCCGCGTTGCCAATTCAATGGTAAAAAGAGTGATGATTGACGGGGGAAGTAGCGCAGACGTGTTATTCTGGAGCACCTTCAAGAGAATGAAGCTAGATGAAAAGGAGATTCAACCAAACCCAACACCGATCTACGCATTCGAAGGGACGAAAGCGCAACCAATCGGAGACGTGACCCTGCCAGTCATTGCCGCAGGTAAGACCTTATTCATTACTTTCGTAGTTGTGGAAGCGCCGAGCGCGTATAATGCTATAATGGGAAGGAATTGGATTCATCGAATGGATGGAGAAGCATCGACACGTTGTGAAGTGATGAGGTGCATATCTGAGGATGGAAGAACCACAATTGATATCAAGGGGGACCAAGTGGAGGCCAGAAGATGCTACAGCATAGCAACTAATCCTAAGGCTGCGACTTCGCAGCAGAGCGAGGATTTATAGCAATTAATGGAGGACTCGCCAAAACGAGAGGAGGAGGATAACTCAGAGCTTCCGACGATCGAACCACTCAGGGAAGAAGTTCTGGATCCTTCTTATCCTGATAGAAAGGTGTTGGTTGGCAAACTTGTGTTCATTCTTGCAGGAATTCATATCGTTGTTTGAGAAGCATGAGTTGTATCTTCATGGCTATTTCACACACACACCTTGAGCATGATTTTTGTGAGATTGTGGTAGCACTTGAATAATGTTTGGAACTTCCTTAGTGCTTGTTTTGTTCCTTGTTGAGCCATGTCTATGAAGTTTAAAATTTCTGTTCGGTTGGAAGGTTAACGTTTTTGTTTTTGTTTTGTTTTTGTTTTTTGTTTTTCTTAAGGACTAACAAACCTATTAAGTTTTCTAACCACTTTGTTTTGTAGAGTCAGTAAAACGTTTGTGGGTATCATATCTGTTAAACCCTCAGGAGACACAACTCCTCCTACTAGGGATGCCTAGAGGTTTAAAGGCTTGTTGCATACGCTCAATGCAATCGAGTTACCTACGAAAGTGGTCTAGTTAACTTCTTATTTTGTTTTATTTTTCTTCGTTTTCCTTTTGTTTTGCTTGAGGACTAGCAAAATCTAGGTTTGGGGGTATTTGATCGGTTCATAATTGTATATCATTTTGTACCCTTCTAGCTTATGATTTGGTTATGTTTTTGAGTTAAACTTGTGCTTTTAAT